ATCTTCTGCACAGCAAAATAAACTATCAACCAAGTAAACAACCTCCAGAATGGAAGAAAATATTTACAAATATGCATCTGCAAAGGTCTGATATCCAACATCTATAAGGAATGTCAACACATTCACAAGAGAAAACCACCCCATTAAAAAGTAGGCAAAGGACATGATCAGACAAGATTGATTGATTGATTGATTGAGATGGAGTCTCACTCTGTCACCCAGGCTGGAGTACAATGGCACAGTCTCAGCTCACTGCAACCTCTGCCTCCTGGTTTCAAGCGATTCTCCTGCCTCAGCCTCCCGAGTAGCAGGGATTACAGGCACCTGCCACCATGCCCAGCTAAATTTTGTATTTTTAGTAGAGATGGGGTTTGGCCAGGCTGGTCTTGAACTCCTGACCCGTTGATCCACCTGCCTTAGCCTCCCAAAGTGCTGGGATTACAGGCATGAGCCACCAAGCCCAGCCTAAACAGACAATTTTCAAAAGAAGACATACACACAACCAACAATCATATGAAAAAAAACTCACTATCACTAATCATTAAAGAAATACAAATCAAAACCATAATGAGATGCCATCTCACACTAGTCAGAAAGGCTGTTATTAAAAAGTCAAAAAATATCCTGGCAAGATTGCAGAGAAAAGGGAACACTTATGCACTGTTAGTGGGATTATAAATGTAGCTCATTCTGGAAAACAGTATAGTGATTCCTCAAAGAGCAGAAAACAGAACTACAATTGGACCCAGCAATCCCCTTACTGGGTATATACCCAGAGAAGTAAGTATAAATCATTCTCTTGTAAAGACACCTGAACATGAATGTTCACAGAAGCACTATTCATAATAACAAAGACATGGAATCAACCTAAAGTCCCATCAGTGACAGACTGGATACAGAAAATGTAAATGTTGACCAGGATGGTCTCGATCTCTTGACCACGTGATCCACCCGCCTCGGCCTCCCAAAGTGCTGGGATGACAGGCGTGAGCCACCGCGCCCGGCAATGTACATATACACCATGAAATGCTATGCAGCCATAAAAACCAAGGAGATCATGTCTTGCAGGAGTATTGATGGAACTGGGGGCCATTATCCTTGACAAACGAACGGAGGAACAGAAAATACTGCATGGAACTTCTAATACTGTTCCACTGACCAGCCATACTCCCAACCCTCTTCTTCTCCTTGGGCCTTCCTTTTTCCCGAGACAAAAATATTGAAATTAGGCCAATTAATAACTCTACAATGACCTCTAAGTGTTTAAGTGAAAGGAAGAGTCACACATCTCTCACTTTATTTTTTACTTTTATTTTTTTGAGCCTGTGTCTTGGTCTGTCACCAGGATGGAGTGTAATGGCACCATCTCGGCTCACTGCAGCATCCACCTCCTGGGTTCAGGCAATTCTCCTGCCTGAGCCTCCCAAGTAGCTGGGACTACAGATGCGTGCAACCACACCTGGCTAATTTTTGTATTTTTAGTCGAGATGGGGTTTCACCATGTTGGTCAGGATGGTCTCCTTGTGATCTGCTCACCTTGGTCTCCCAAAGTGGGCAGGATTACAGGCATGAGCCACTGCACCTGGCCACATCTCTTACTTTAAATCAAAAGGTTGAAATGGGCTAGGCGCGGTGGCTCACACCTATAATCCCAGCACTTTGGGAGGCCGAGGCAGGTGGATCACGAGGTCAAGAGATAGAGACCATCCTGGTCAACATGGTGAAACCTTGTCTCTACTAAAAATACAAAAAATTAGCTGGGCACAGTGGTGCGTGCCTGTAATCCCAGCTACTCAGGAGGCTGAGGCAGGAGAATTGCCTGAACCCAGGAGGCGGAGGTTGTGGTGAGCCGAGATCGTGCCATTGCACTCCAGCCTGGGTAACAACAGTGAAACTCCGTCTCATTTAAAAAAAAAAAAAAAAGGTTGAAATGAGTAAGCTTAGTGAGAAAGGCATGTTGAAACCTGAAAGAGGCCAAAAGCTAGGTCTCTTTTGCCAAATGGCTAACCAAATTGTGAAGGCAAAGGAAAAGCTCTTGGAGGAAACTCAAAGTGCTACTCCAGTGAACACAGGAATGATAAAAAAGTGAAAGTCCTATTGCTGATATCAGGAAAGTCTGAGTGGTGTGGAGAGATCAAACCAGCCACAACATTCCTTTAAACTAAAGCCCAATCCAGAGCAAGGCCCAAACTCTCTTCAAAGGCTGAGAGGTGAAGAAGGTGGAAGAAATGTGGGGAACTAGCAAAGGTTGGTTCATGAGGTTTAAGGAGAAAAGCTATCGCCGTAACATAAACGTGCAAGTGCTGTGGAGAAACTCGAGCAGGTGAGCCAGAAGATCCAGCTAAGGTCACTGATGAAAGTGGCTACCATAAGAACCGATTTTCAATATAGACAAAACAGCCCTCTATTGGGGAAAGATGCCATCTAAGACTTTTATAGCTAGAGAAGTCAGTGCCTAGCTTCAAAGCTTCAAAGAATAGGCTGACTCTCTTGTTAGGGGCAAATGCAGTTGGTGAAGCCAATTCTTATTTACCATTCTGAAAATCCTGAGGCCGTTAAGAATTATGTTTACTCTGCCTGTGCTCTATTAATTGAACACAAAGACTGGATGACACCCTATGTGTTTACAGCATGGTCTGCTGAATATTTTAAGCCCATTGTTGAGATTTACTGCTCAGAAAAAGATTCCTTTCAAAATATTACTGTTCATTACCGTGCACCTAAACAACCAAGAGCTCTGATAGAGACATACAAGGAAGTTAATGTTTTCATGCCTGCTAATACAACATTCATTTTGTAGCCCATGGATCAAAGGGTAATTTTGTCTTTCTCTTTTTTTTTTTTTTTGAGATGGGCTCTCATTCTATCACCCAGACTAAAGTGCAGTGGTGCAATCATAATTTATTGCAGCCTTGCTCCTGAGCTCAAGTGATCCTCCTGCCTTGGCCTCCCAAATAGCTAGGATTACTACACACTTGCCTACTTAAAAAAAAATTTTTGTAGGCCAGGCGTGGTGGCTCACACCTTGTCATCCCAGCACTTTGGGAGGCTGAAACAAATGTATCCCAAGGTCAGGAGATCGAGACCATCCTGGCTAACACAGTGAAATCCCTCTACTAAAAATCCAAAAAATTAGCCAGGTGTGGTGGCACACACCTGTAGTCCCAGCTACTTGGGAGGCTGAGGCAGGAGAATTGCTTGACCTTGGGGGGCAGAGATTGCAGTAAGCCAAGATCATGCCATTGCACTCCAGCATAGGTGACAGAGTGAGACTCCATCTCAAAAAAATTTTTTTTTGTTCTGTAGTGATGAGGTCTTGATATGTTGCCCAGGATGGTCTTGAACTCCTGGGCTCAAGTGATCCTCCTGCCTTACCCTCCCAAAATGCTGGGATTACAGGCATAAACCACTGCTCCCAGCCAAAAGTGGTTTGTTCTGTTTTTGCTTTTTGAGACAGAGTCTCACTGGGTTGCCCAGGCTGGAGCGTACTGGCACGATCTCGGCTCACTGCAACTCCCAACTCCTGAGTTCAAGCGATTCTTTTGCCTCAGCCTCCTGAGTAGCGGGGACTACAGGCACATGCCACTACACCCAGCTAATTTTTTTTTTTTTAAAGATGGGGTTTCGGCCGGGTGCGGTGGCTCAAGCCTGTAATCCCAGCACTTTGGGAGGCCGAGGAGGGTGGATCACGAGCCCAAGAGATTGAGAACATCCTGGTCAACATGGTGAAACCCAATCTCTACTAAAAATACAAAAAAATTAGCTGGGCGTGATGGCACGTGCCTGTGGTCCCAGCTTCTCGGGAGGCTGAGGCAGGAGGACTGCCTGAACCCAGGAGGCGGAGGCTGCAGTGAGCTGAGATCACGCCATTGCACTCCAGCCTGGGTAACAAGAGTGAAACTCCATCTCAAAAAAAAAAAAGATGGGGTTTCACCATGATGGCCAGGCCGGTCTTGACCTCCTGACCTCAAGTAATCCACACACCTCAGCCTCCCAAAGTGCTAGGATTACAGGAGTGAGCCACTGAGCCCGGGCCACCCAGCTAATTTTTTTTATTGTTTGTGGAGATGGGTTTTGCCATGTTGGCCAGGCTTGTCTGGAACTCCTGACCTCAAGTGATCTGCCTGCCTTGGCATCTCAAAGTGCTGGGATTTCAGGTATGAGCCATGGCACCCAACCATTTTGTTTCTTGAGACAGGGTTTTGCTCTGTCACTCTGGCTGAAGTACAGTGGCACAATCAGGACTCACTGCAGCCTCAACCTCCTAGGCTCAAGCGATCCTCTCACCTCAGGCTCCCAAGTTGCTGGGACTATAGGTGTGCACCACCATGCCCAGCTAATTGTTTAATTTCTTTTTTTTTGTAGAGATAGGGTCTTCCCTGTGTTAACGCCTGGGTTCAAGCAGTCCTCCTGTCTTGGTCTCCCGAACTGCTGGGATTACAGACATGATCCACTCTGTCCAGCCCACAATTTTTTTTGAGATGGAATCCACTGTTAGTGAAGATGCTGTGAACATTGTTGAAATGACAACACACAACACAGTATTTGGAATATTACGTAAACCTAGTTAATGCAGCAGCAGCAGGGTTTGAGAAGACCTGACTCCTTTTGAAAGCTCTACTCTGCTGTTACCCTGCAACACATGCTATGCAGAAATCTTTTGGGAATGGAAGAGTCAACTAATTTGGCAAACTTCATTGTGTCTTATTTTAAGAAATTATCACTGCCACTCCAATCCTCAGCAGCCACCACCCTTATCAGCATTACATTTATCTGATGTAATGCTTTTGAACACTTTCTAATAGACTACAGTATATTATAAACATAGGTTTTATTTTCACCAGGAAAGCAAAACATTTGTGTGATTCATTTTATTGCGACATTCACTTTACTGTAGGGGTCTGGAATCAAAGCTTCAGTATCTATGAGGTATACTGTATATATCTAAGGGACATTATTCACAACAGCCAAGACTTGGAAATGTCCACTAGTGGATAAACGGATAAAGAAACAGTACACGAGGGCCTGTGCGTGGCTCCCGGGCGCTAAGCGTTTGACAGACTTGAACTGCTACCTTGTGGCCGCAGAGTAATTTGCCAAAATGACGAACACAAAGGGAAAGAGGAGAGGCACTCGATACATGTTCTCCAGGCCTTTTAGAAAACATGGAGTTGTTCCTTTGGCCACGTATATGCAAATCTATAAGAAAGGTGATACTGTAGACATCAAGGGAATGGGTACTGTTCAAGAAGGAATGCCCCACAAATGTTACCATGGCAAAACTGGAAGAGTCTACAATGTTACCCAGCATGCTGTTGGCATTGTTGTAAACAGACAAGTTAAGGGCAAGATTCTTGCCAAGAGAATTAATGTGCGTATTGAGCACATCAAGCACTCTAAGAGCCGAGATAGCTTCCTAAAACGTGTGAAGGAAAATGATCAGAAAAAGAAGGAAGCCAAACAGAAAGGTACCTGGGTCCAACTGAAGCGACAGCCTGCTCCACCCAGAGAAGCACACTTTGTGAGAACCAATGGGAAGGAGCCTGAGCTGCTGGAACCTATTCCCTATGAATTCATGGCATAATAGGTGTTAAAAAAAAAAAAAAAAAGACTTCTGGACTGTAAAAAAAAAAAAAAAAAACAGTACACACACACACACACACACACACACACACACGCAGAGGAACATTATACACCCTTAAAAAGGAGATTTATCATACCGGGCACAGGGCTCATGCCTACAATCCCAGCACTTTGGGAGGCCGAGGTGGGTGGATCATGAGGTAAGGAGATCAAACCATCCCGCTGAATATGATAAAACCTTGTCTCTACTAAAATACAAAAAATTAGCCCAGCATGGGGGTGTGTGCCTGTAGTCCCAGCTACTCAGAGGCTGAGGCAGGGAAATCGCTTAAACCTGGGAGGTGGATATTGCAGTGAGCCGAGATCGTGCCACTGCACTCCAGCCTGGTGACAGTGAGGGATCATCTCAGAAAAAAGAGAGAGATCTATCTGCTGGGTGCAGTAGCTCACACCTGTAATCCCAGCTCTTAGGGAGGCCAAGGTGGGTAGATTGCTCAAGCTCAGAAGTTTGAGACCAGCCTGTGTAACACAGTGAGACCCTGCATCTACAAAAAATAAACGTTTTATAAAATAAGGCATGTGTGGTAGCACACGCCTATAGTCCTAGCTACTTCGGAAGCTGAATGGAGAGGATGACTTCATTCGGGGAGGATGACTTGATTCTGGGAGGTGAGAACTGCTGTGAGCTATGACTGCACCACTACACTCCAGCCTGGGTGACAGCAAGACCCTGTCTCAAAAAAAAAAAAAAAATTCTACCATTTGCGACAACATGGATGAACCTGTTGGATGTCGTGAAGTAAGCCAGACATAGAAAAAATACTTCATAGGCTGGGCGTGGTGGCTCACGCCTGTAATCCCAGCACTTTGGGAGGCTGAGGACGTCGGATCACAAGGTCAAGATCTAATACTAGCCTGGCCAATATGAAGAAACCCCGTCTCTGCTAAAAATACAGAAATGAGCTGGGTGTTTTGGCGCATGCCTGTAGTCCCAGCTACTTTGGAGGCTGAGGCAGAAGAATCGCTTGAATCTGGGAGGCAGAGGCTGCAGTGAGTCAAATTGCACCACTGCACTCCAGCCTGGGCGACAGCGCAAGACTGTCTCAAAAAAAAAAAAAAATTCATGATCTCACTTACACATGAAATCTAAAAGAGCCAAATAAAAACAGTAGGGTGGGCACGGTGGCTCATGCCTGTAATCCTAGCACTTTGGGAGGCAGAGGCGGGTAGATCACCTGAGGTCAGGAGTTCGAGACCAGCCTGAGCAACATGGTGAAACCCCATGTCTACTAAAAATACAGAAATTAGCTGGGCATAGTGGCGTGTGCCTGTAATCCCAGCTGCGCAGGAGGCTGAAGGAGGAGAGTTGCTTGAAGCTGGGCAGTGGAGGTTGCAGTGAGCTGAGATCGTACCACTGCACTCCAGCCTGGGCAACAGAGTGAGACTCTGTCCCTGCCAAGAAAACAACAAAAAACAGAGTAGAATTGTGGTGGGGGTGTGGGGGAGGGAATGGGGAAATGTAGTTGAGAGGGTGAAGTTGCAGTTATGTAGGATCCGTACATCAAGAGAGCTGATGACAGTATGACGATTATACTTAAAGACACAGTATTGGAAATTTGGTAAGAGTAGATTTCATGTATTCTTTCTACAGGAAGAAAGTTTAAGGTAACTGTGAGGAGATGGATATATTAATTTGCTTGACTATAGTGATCATTTCACTGTGTGCATGTATATGTATATCAGAACATCATGTTGTACACCCTAAGTGTGATACACACTGTGGCCAGGAAGAGGGAGTGACCGATTGTTCAGGTTGGATTCTCATGTGCTGTCCTGGAGTTGGGGTCAGTTTTACCAAAATCACAGGATCAAGTGTGAAGGAAGAGTGGGACTCTGCAAGGGATACTTAGGATACTATTAAAAGAAGATCAGAGGTGACAAGGCATAGTGGCTCATGCCTGTAATCCCAGCACTTTGGGAGGCCAAGCAAGAAAGATTATTTGAGGCCAGGAGTTCAAAACCAGCCTGGGTAACATAGTGAGACCCTGTCTCTGGAGAAAAAAAAAAAAGATAAATTGATTATAAGCCAACTGTGGTGGCACATGCCTGTAGTCCCAGCTACCTCAAGAGGCTCTGGCAGAAGGATCACTTGAGTCCAAGAGTTCAGGGCTACAGTGAACCATGATTGTGCCACTGTACTCCAGCCTTCAGTAACACGGTGAGACCCTACCTCTAAAAAAAAAAGAAGAAAATGAAAGGGTGGTCATTTGGGTTAAACATAACAGGTAAGGCCGGGCGCAGTGGCTGATGCCTGTTATCCCAGCACTTTGGGAAGCTGAGGTGGGTGGATCATGAGGTCAAGAGATGGAGACCATCCTGACCAACGTGGTTAAAATCCTGTCTCTACTAAAAAATTAGCTGGGCGTGGTGGTGTGTGCCAGTAGTCCTACCTACTCGAAGGCTGAGGCAGAAGCATTGCTTGAACTCAAGAAGCAGAAGGTTGCAATGAGCTGAGATTGTGCCATTGCTCTCCAGCCAGGCAACCGAGCAAGACTCCATCTCCAAAAAAAAAAAAAAAGGTAAACCGGAGTAGAGAATCAGAGAGGTAATTTAAATAATTATAAAAATGGCTAACACCATTCACATGCTGGTCCCGTGTCAGCCCTCCTGTGCTAAGCACTTTACCTGGGTTATTTCACCATTATCATCCCATTGCACACATCAGAAAGTAGGGTCGGGTTGTAGGGTATGGTGGCCGGGCAGTAGGAGACAGGATGGAAAGTGCACGAGAGGTCCATCTTCCTGGCCAGTGTGTACAGTACTTAAGGTGTACAACATGATGTTCTGATATACACAGTGAAATGATTATTACAGTCAAGCAAATGAACATACCCATCTCCTCACATAGTTACCTTCACTTTTTTTCCTGTAGTAAGAATACCTGAAATTGAGTTGAGTTAAAACTTCCTATGAGCTATACAAACTCCAGATGCATTACTGAATCTCAGGCTCCTCAAATACCAAGAAAATAATCAGAGTCTATCTCAAAATACGCAAGTAGATGCTGCAGGTGTACCTCAGTTTATCTCCCTACAGAATTGCTGTCGTCATCAAGTGACTGCCCTGGCAAGAAAATGCCTGTGGGTGGCGGGGTGTCAATCTTTCTGTCTTACAGACTGGACCCTCAGCCCCTGTCACGCCATTACTGTTTAACATTTCTTTTAGGAGCCGTGGTTGCAGTTTTGCCTTTGTGTAATTGATTTAGGTCTGTTCCCTGCTGGAGACTTGGCTTTGTTTTTTTTTTGAGACGGATTCTTCCTCCGTCACCCAGGCTGGAGTGCACTGGCGCCATCTTGGCTCACTGCAACCTCTGCCTCCTGGGTTCAAGTGATTCTTCTGCCTCAGGCTCCCTGAGTAGCTGAGACAACAGGTGTGCGTCACCACGCCCAGCTAATTTCTTTTTTGTATTTTGTAGTTGAGATGAGGTTTCACCATGTTGGCCAGGCTGGTGTCGAACTCTTGACCTCAGGTGATCCGCCCGCCTCGGCCTCCCAAAGTGCTAGGATTACAGGCTTGTGAGCCACCACCCTGGCTTTTTTTTTTTTTTTTTTTTAGACTGAGTCTTGCTCTGTCACCCAGACTGGAGTGCAGTGGCTTGATCTCGGTTCATTGCAAACTCTGCCTCCTGGGCTGAAGTGATTCGCCTACCTCAGCCTTTTGAGTAGCTGGGACTACAAGCATGCACCATCATGCCATGATAATTTTTATATTTTTATTAAAGACAGGGTTTTACCATGTTTACCAGGCTGGTCTCAAACTTCTGACCTCACGTGATTCATTTGCTTCCGCCTCCCAAAGTGCTGGGATTACAGGCGTGAGCCACTGCGCCTGACCTCGACCCTTGTGATTAAGTAGAAATTTATGTTCCTTTCCTTTTAGGAGAGATGCTCTTTGACTAAGTTGATTCAAGATGTATAGGTGTAGTGGGTTGAGTCATGGCACCCCAAATGTGTTCAGATCCTAATCAGTGGAACCCACGAAGGTTACTTTATATGGCAAAAGGAACTCTGCAGATGTTAAGGATCTTGAGATGGGGAGATTATCCTGGATTATCCCAGTGGGTCCAACATGATCATAATGGTCTTTGTACAATGGAGGCAGGAAGGTCATAGTCAGAGGAAAAGGCAGTGGAATGAGATTGGAGTGATGCACTTTGAAGGTGGAGGACAGGGCCATGAGCCAAAGAATGTGGGTAGCTACTAGAAGCTTAAAATTCAAGGTAAGAGATTCACCCCTCAGAGCCTCCGGAAGGAACCAGCCTTGCCAACAGCTTGATTTCGGCTGAGTGAAATTAACTTTAGACTTCTAACCTCTAGAACAGTAAGTTTGTGGGGTTTTGTTTTTGTTTTTAAATAGAGTTTCACCATGTTGGTCAGGCTGGTCTTGAACTCCCGACCTCAGGTGATCCGCCCACCTTGGCCTCCAAAGTGCTTGGATTACAGGCGTGAGCCACTACGCCCGGCCTTGTTTTTTTTTTAAGTCAGAGTTTCACTCTTGTTGCCCAGGCTGAAGTGCAATGGCACAATCTCGGCCCACTGCAACCTCCGCCTCCCACATTCAAGTGATTCTCCTGCTTCAGCCTCCTGAGTAGCTGGGATTACAGGCACACACCACCATACCTAGCTAATTTTTGTCTTTTTAGTAGAGATGGGGTTTCACCATATTGGCCAGGCAGATCTTGAACTTCTGACCTCAGGTGATCCACCTGCTTTGACTTCCCAGAGTGCTGGGATTACAGGTGTGAGCCATCACGCCTGGCCCGAGTTTGTGTTGTAAACCATTAAGCTTGTGGTCATCTGTTACCACACGAGTAGGTACTAATACAGATGTGACTGTGACTTGGAGGTTATTAAGGGGTAACAGTGAAATCAGCCTGGTTTCACTAGGGTGAGGGGGAAACAAAATGAGAAATAGAGGTCTCAACCAGGGAAAGGCATCAGGATGGAGCCAGGTATGGGGCAGGCCGGATTTAGAAGCTAAATTCTTCATGGT